TACATTGAGGTTAAGAGTTCAAATTTCCCCCCTCAAGTAGCCTCAAAATGTCCCATTTCAACTTCAAATTTTCAAAGGCTTCACATGGCGGAAGGGGGATACCCCCTTCCGCACCAACCCCCCCTCGGTCGCTTCGCTCCCTCGCCGTGATACTGCTCCCTCATGCCAAATTTTTCTAGAAAAACCCCTGGAGATGGTCATAGTTATAACTGTCTTGGCCAAACTTTAAAATACATTTAAAATGACCTGACTTATTGACTCATTTCGGCAAAGAGTGACGGTTTTGGTAATTCATATCTCTTCACTTTTGCGACTTACCTTGGTTGTTGTAAAGCTTCTATTGGCTCCTGGTTAAAATCTTGCATAATCTGGAAGACAAAATGACTCAGTGTACCAGTGCCCCACACTCCTTTGAAAAAACTCATGTTGATATATTTCCAGAACATGTAAGTCCTTAGAGCTTGTCTCACACCTATCTACCATTAGGTTCTATTGTTGTCAATTTGTTGACTAAAGTAAATGCATGCAATATGGCTTTCTGAGTCCACAACTCCAAATCAAAGTTTTTCTCCAAATCAAATAATGGAAGTAATTATCTACTGTTATCCCTTTTATCATTAATCAAATTCATATCTGCTACTTCTGTATTATTAAGTACTAACTATTACAGGTCTGGTAATGATACGGACGTTCCAGCCCATGTGATAACTGGCCATAATATATATGTACAGTAGCATTCTACAGTATATACATGTATACTGATTTCTACAACAGTAGCTTTACTAAAGCCACACCAAACGCTGTCCTCGGCCACAACACCAGACCTAGAGTGCTACCATCATCTTTCGAGATGGAAGGATGCCTACAGCTTTACTAAAGAGCCACCTAGTGGTGAGTGATAGTACTTCAGTATGAGTAAATCCTTCCCTGGCAGGTAAAACTTGACCTCTGACCTGTTTCCTGAACTGGTCCCTCTCTCGCTTCCTCTGGATGAAGAGACCAATCAGGCAGCACATCTCACCTGTACAGGTAATTAAAGGGACAAAGTTTTTAAAAAACTGTTTTGGGGATAAATAGGGCAGTGCCTATTACTGTTTCTGTAGACCTGGGGCCACACAGTTGTGCAAGCTTACTATTCCAGAGTATGGCCACACTGACTTGATTTGATGGATCAATTTTTTTAAGTTGGCCACCATGCTGCTAAGTGAACAATTATATGCCATAAGTTGAAAAAAAAAGGATTGGAAAATAGATCTATGCTAGAATAATAAATTGCCTTTTTTTCTATCAGGATTTTTCACCAATTGTATCAGTACAACTTGGCTATACTCCAAATTCAAAGAATAAGATACATGAAAAACAAAATAAAGAAATTACGGTTTGGTATACCTAGTGTGTTAAGTCATTTGTTCAACCTTCCTGACCAATTTACTTAGACTTCATGAAGGCAACTTTTGGACCCAACTATTTTTCTTCTTCCAGCTCTCAAATCAGCTTTGTGGCACGGATGTCATTCATAGAATCAAAGCATGGCCCAATATAAGCAGCAGCTAATTTCCCTACCTATGAACATGATGACTGTCTGGAACCAGGGATGGTCAAAATCATGTTCTTCTGCTTCTGTTCCATTAGGACCTGGAACACCCTTGACCCTGAAAGAAAAACAACAGGCAACAGAGATCACTTCTGAGTGGTCAAGGCACACCGCTAACACATTTTGCTAAAGTTATATAAGGTTACAGTAACTATACCAGTAACAATGTATGTTAGAGTTCAACTTGTTTGTTAGAGACATCCAGATTGGGAGATACAAAAAAAATCAAGCAACTGGATTCATTTTGCAAACTGTATGATGTTTCTGATGACTGACAAAAAGTAGTGGATACTACTTGAAACCACTGAGTCTGATAGTTTTCAATATCTACCCAGTTAGATTATTATTTTTTTATTGCTATACAATTGCCATTTTCTACTACAGAAACTTAAAATTGTGTGCCGGTCAAAAACGTTTAATCCATCTGGTAGTGATTATCAAAATCATATGTCTTAGTTCAGTGACAATTTCTTAAACGAATTTTAAACGACCCGTTTGAACAAACTTGTGCAGAACTTTACATGCTAAAGCTAAAGTTGGCAAGTAGCCATGCCCCCCTCCCCAATCATGTGACTCCACTACGTCCGGGTCTATGATCTAAAAAAGCCCCAAAACCGGGGCAACTAAAAGTTGCAGTGCTTAGTCTTCTGTACTTACTTTGAGTCGTTCTGGGCCTTCTTACTGAGGGTGTTGATGCTACCGGTCACCAACATGCCCAACACAAGGAGCCACTGGACACATGACAGCGCATGATTTTAGGTGGGTTATACCACTCAATAATAGGAGACACTGTACTTCTTAAGGTGTTATTGGGCTTGAGAGAGTGACTCTGGCGCTACGATTCACACTTATCGATGTTGAAAACCATTTAAGTTAATACATTTGTAACCCTATGGTAGATGAGATCGTTTAAAACTTTAACCGAAAGGCATTATCCACCCCCATCTGCTCAGTAGAACAATCCTTGATACTGTAGTGGGTTTGGCTGAGGTACTAATCTCAACCAATAGGGGGCGCTTCAGAACAGTTGCCCTGGTGTGGTCAAATGTAACACGGGATACGAACAAAGCATTGCAAAGAACGCGGACGACCGTTAAGAACGGCAGTGGTCAACAAAATATGTTTCAGTTACCCAATACTGTATAGTTGGTAACGTTGTGTCTGTTATGTTTCAGGGTACACTATCTCAGTTATAACTTTCAAGTGTGATTTGGTAGGTCCTCCCTAGTTTCGCGCCATTTTTGTCATTTAGCAGATTCATTTGTCTAATAACCAAAATAATGTAATATCGATTTTGCAATGACGCATGGTCATCCTAAATCTGTCACAAACCATCGGCAATTGTTCAGTGATTGACATGATACGACATGACATGTAACCTCCATTGGCATTTTATCCACTGGGTTACATATATCGATCGACCACTTTGAAAAACAGTGTTTTTGAGAAATCTCTAGTGCACCACCTGTGCGCAGAGTTTAAATATATATTTCGTGTCGCATTTTTAAGCCAAGCATATACACTGCGTCATACCTACTAGATTCTGTTGAGTTCTGAAAACGTCCAAGAAAGTTGAAGTAGAAAAAAAAGAGGAAAAAGCTCAAAGACGATTATTGCGACCTACGTCATTACATAACACCATTGACTAGACGGAATGCAACTCCATTCCAGCGTGTAATTCAAGTTTTATCCGGTGAAGTAAAAGCTTTTGAGTTACATACAGTACAACTATAGTACGGGGATGACCTGGTGAGGTCACTAAAAGCATTAAGGCCAGCCTTTGAAAGTTCTATTAATCACAGTTGTGCCAATCATGCCATCCAGAAAAGTATAGGTTGTTGCACTTTAATACAGCGTAGATATGCACCGGGGCCTGACGGCGTTCTTGTATCAAAGTATTTCTTGTTATTGCTTTTCATGTAGTGAGTGAAGGTAGTGGGCCTATCTGGTGGTGACAGACATATGCCTTTGATATCACATCAGTCGACACGTTCGCGTTTTCCATATGAACCGTGGTGTTTTATGGGGAAAGCTTAAAAAGTGTACAGATGGAGGGTTACGATAGTGGGTTCTGTCGGCAGAACTGCGTCACGACGCGTGTTTATCTCTACTCGCCATCTTCAGGGATTACCCGCCGTGACGCAAAACACTCTCTGCCGAAATGAAAGTTCCACCCTCTTATCGGCCAGGCACACGGTCTACAAGCGATGAACGGTCGTCTCAGAGACCACGGGAAAGTAATACAAAGCTAACCTGAGGGCGGTATAAAGGGTTACTAAAGGGAATGTATATACGTACTTATGCAAACTGATAGACTGTCAAAAACTGTCGACGTCAATCAGTAGCAACTGCACAAGCCTCGGGGCAGAATAATCTCCAAGCAGATGTAGGTCTCTGAAGTTTTTGTCGACATTAAGTTCGCCTTCTTATGATTTTCTTAGTAGTGCGAGAAGGCAAATACCAGTAGTAAAATAAGTAGCACTACTTAAAAGATATAACGTTATTAAATGCCGTAAAATTTGTACAACTCTGCAACTGAGCCGGATCATATATCTGCTTTGAGTGTAGGACATAAGAGTCCCCAAATGTCCAGTTTCTCATGATGTACTCATAAAAAAACACCGCTTTATAGTGGAATAACTTGGACAACATTGGTACTAAAACCTTTCGACCGCCTATACAGGAATAGAATTATGCATTCATCTGTGTGGCAACCGTTGTGAATGACTCTATCACATGTAGTGATATCATCACGCTGAAAATATCATACGTTAACTGAACGTAGCCCCAATAGGACATGAATATACAATAAAGGCTACCCATCTATTATAAATGATGTGTAACGATTACATTTTATGAAAAAAAACTCACAGAAATAGAATTTGAATGATACGATGTTATACATGATCCGTGAATAGTGTGGACATGGAATTCAGTCACAGTTGTTCTGGAGCTGTCGAAAGTGGATGAGAAAGTTTTAAATCCTGACTCAGAGTACAACATAGCGAGTGAGTCAGGGCGTTTAACGTACCTCGATTGTACTGAATAACTGAATGTTATAGATTGTAAACTTCTTTATTAGTGGTGGAGCTAAAATTAGCTAGTGCTAGATAGAGTTGTTCACCACTATGTATTATACTCTCTATGTTTGATGAAAAATGGATATTAAATAACTCAAAAACGACAAAAACGGTCCTCTTTTGTACAACGGTCATTCGGAGTACATGTAGTGGACCAAAATACTGTACTAGTAAAGTGATAGTATGAGCATAACAACATACATGTATTCCTTATGAGATGTACATGTATGAGTCTGTGGCTTGAAATTGAGGATAGCCCCTCCAATACTAACTTGTAATGTATTCCAAGGCACGTGACTCTGCCGGCTGTGTCCTAGCTCCCAATCCGTGCCAATCGCCGAGGGTTTCCGCTTACGTGCGTATCACTCATCCACTCGTCATTACACAGTACCGAGTCATCCATCCCTATCACTGGACCGGATTCTAATGACCAGCAGAGGCATTCACGCCTTGATACTGCGTGCTTATGTAGGGTTTGTCTCCAGTCCTCGGCGGATTTCTACGGTTCAAGTTTGAGAGTTGGCAGTTTACCAGAACGTGGCGCTCCTGAAGTTTGCTGAAGCCTGGAATCATGATGAGAAGGTAGGTGAGGTGTTTGTCTTCTTGTAACTGCTAAACCAACGTAACGTACTGGCTGCTTGCATTGTGAATCTTTTTGTGTCGACCACGTACACGGGGCTATGCCGGGACAAACACGTATTCAGAAAAATTACATGCAGACCGTTTCCATGGTTACATTGGCGAATGTTTCGTTCATCTAGGACATACTGACTGTTGCGTGCTCGCTCTTTGTAAATTCATTTCCCATGAACATAGGAAGTACCAATCTGCGGTAGCTCTCCAAGCTTCGGCTTTAATATTCAGTGAGATCTTTAAGGCGTTTTTATCAGGCTTTCTTTTCTTGTACCGGTATCCTTTATTTCGATGACGTAGTGGATACTGCGCCGTCAATTCGATACTATATCAATTTAATACTATCTTGTAGCCTCCAAAATGATCTGCTTGGAGAATAGGTTCTTCTTACAAATCGCTACTTGTTTCAATACATCCGCGACCTACATAACCTGTGCACAGGAAAATGCATTGTATCGCGACCGTTGGTGTACAGTTGCTAGGTAATATGTATGAAGCACGCCGTTCTTCTGCATTCCACAGCCAGGACCTGTACTATGGCATTTTAATTAAAATTCACTGATGTATATCTGTAGGACGGACAACCTCCCATCTATCTACATAACATTACATGCACAAGGTGGTAAAACAACAAATGTCTGGAGCTGACACAAAATTGACTACTATAAATAGCGTCAAACCGATCGCATTTAATGACGCCATCTTCAATAGATATCGACTGGATTGGATTGGTCGAATGCAATCAAGGGATGGCAAAAACATCTCATCTAGTCTGGCTACCAGTCTATCCCAAGGCTGGAGAGAGGGTTTCCATGTACGGCGCCATAAGCTTCTATCCTCACCGGGCCAACTATAAGTCAACTTTGTATAATTTACTTTTATACAATTTGCTTTATGTTATGTTATATTTGTTTGTGACCTTGGGCCCTCTTGGAAATCAGCAATCTTATGCTGTAGAGGCTACCCAGGTGTTTATAAGATGAAATAAATAAAATAAATAACTCCTAATAAGCTTTTGCCAGCCTGACTGCAACAACGTTGTTGCCAAAGGGCCTTCCAGGGTAGCGAGACTGTTCAGCTGCAGGACCAGTACACAGGCTAGCCTCTTCTCAGTATCTAACCCTGAGGGGTGTCTACGGTATTTTTTTCAGGGACAAGTTAGCCCTGGAGCCGAGGAGCTAGTGTGTGTACTCCGAAACCTTGCAACACTCTGGCACCCAGGCTACTTCCATGGAGGCTGGGGCAAAATTTCCTTGGGGGTATGTTGGAGCGTGCGTGGGCCCTGGCAACGGTCTGGATTCTAGGTTACAACTCATCAGATGTGTCATTCAGAAACGAACCCTTTCACTGTTCGCAGCAGTTCTAATTAGGAAAGATTGCACTGTGAGCTGGATGTGCAGAGAACCGGCTACGATTTGGCACTACGATACACTCACTGTGTGCTCTATGTCATTGAGTTTTTTTATGCTTTGGCATATTAGTAAGATAAAATTTGCTTTCTTTGGATTAGTAGGAAAGTAGCGCAGTCATAATCAACACAGGCTTCTTAATGCTTTTCAACGGACTGGTGAAAATACAGTGTTATTCTTTAGCGCAGTGTTTGATATTTTGATTGCACGCACGTTGTGTCTTCTGACCTGGTTTACAACTAGTACGTAAATCCGCGCTAGTACAAGCCTATACTCCTAGGCCATAGCTAAGACCATCCTTCTTGCATAATAATACCATGATAAGTCATTCCAAATCTCCTTTTTACATTCACCCTTCTCAAAGCCTTCATCAACATTGAGGCGAATCGCCTTTTGCATACGTTCGTCAGATGATGAATTCAGAAAGTGTCTGGGTTCAAACTCTACGGGAATCCTGTAGGGCTTCTTGATGTTCAGCATCGGAAAACGTCCATTATTCATCATCAGGGAGGACTTTTCAGTAATGCCGACAGATCAACAAAAGACGAGCTGCCGGTGGCGGTCTGACCTGGGATACGATGTCAGAACGGTGATAGAAACGCATTCATAATGACTTGGTCCCAACCTCTTGGTCCAGGGGCAAGGTCTCTCACAACATGGACTTCACACGCTATCCAGTCTGGTCGATTTATAAGTTCATCTGTGTTGGTAGAATTCATTCTGTAGCAGGCTTAAACTGTGCACAATTTCCAACGCAAAGGAACGGACAGGTCGCAGCTCTAGATTGAAAACGTGAATCTGTCAGCTGAGGACTAAATTGCAGAAAGTTTATGGAGCCCCCCGTCTCTATTATAAGGGTTGGTTGTTATGGCCTGATAAATTTGGTTAAGTCCCATTCCCTTTGTGTTGGTGTAGTCCAGGACGAACTAAAGGGTTTATAAAGATGTTGCCTGTAAAGCTCACAAGTAACGATCGGAATAACCAGTGACAGTTTGTGACGATATAGAAGGATAGGAATACAGTTCAACAACCCCAGAAACAAGATTGAGCACCGACAGAATGCTGTCCTGACAGTCTAAAAACTCCCATCTAATCTATATTCCACTTTCAAAGCCCAGTGACTTTAAACGCTCATCTACATGTAGAAGGTTTGACAACTGTAAATCTTATCACAAACCTAGTCATCCCCTGGTGGAACATCAGTTTTCAACAGGTTATCATAGGGATAAAGTCAGTGTCAGGTGCATAAAAGGAGGGCATGCATGGGGCAGTTTGGATGATGATTGTGTCATTTTGCTCGACAGATGTGTTAACACCGTACAACAGAAACATATTGTATTTTGTGGAACACAGTTGTCAAACATTCACAAAATCAATTGCATGCCTTTGTTTGAATGACCGCGCGCCATTGTACCAACTAATTTATATTTTGAAATTGTTGACACAGAACATGTGCATTAGGGCATTAGAAGGCGATTTATCATCATTAAGCACGGATATCCTAGTCGCACGGCAGATTATGTTTTTTCTGAAGGTGAACTTTGAGACGTCCTACACGGCATCATGATTCTGTGCACGTGTAGCGGACTGGCAACACCGTGGCGGGATATATTGACATAGATCACACAAGCCTTATCGCGCTTTAAAGGTATACCTATAGCTCAGGGCTGTGGACAGAACTGCCGGGTGGAATGTGCAAAAGTGTTTTCTGAAACACAAGCGATGCCACATGCCATATCGTAGTTTGCCTGCTTGCTTCACTGTGTGATCTTGGGTAGAATCAATCAACACAGGACGCATGGTACGCTGATATCAGTTGACCTGACCGTAACCTGTACGTTTCTGCATCCTCTCACAGGGTCTGAGTCCCCGGCAAGGTGAGACTGTACAGTCCGGTGGAACAGCCTTGAGTCTTTTCCGCGCGCCGCCACATGATGGGCACGATAGCGGACTCGGGAGAGGGTACGGACCAGGTGAACGGGTATGGGGGAGGGAAGGAGCCGGGAGGTGAGCACGGCGCCCCGCTGACACAGGAACAGGTCCTCGGCATCAAGGAGACCTGGGCAGTCCTGGCGCAGGACCCGGTCGAGAGGGGGGCAGACCTCTTCATGAAGTAAGCAATTAGACTACCTACTGCATCATTATGTCAAGACTAAGCACGTATCATAAGAAATTTGTATTTTTGATGACTTGAAAAGAACTGACAAAGAATCTATCTTCAAGTCTATCGTAAATTTTCAAAAATGCAGTTTTTAAAGTCATGATAGATAAGAATTCATGTGCAAGTATAATAATTTAAGTAGAATGTTCACTATCTACAGCATTTCGGAGCCGTGCATTTTATTAGTATAGGTCTAGAGCTTTTTCGTTTATGCTATAGCTGCAGGGGACTGACCAAAATTCACAAAGATCTGTTTGAAAATGTAAAGAGATACCGCTGTATTGATCCAAAGCACCAGCCGGTATTTGATACAGAATATCACACACTAACCTAGAACACACGCTGCGGCCACTACACGTCGGCTCTCCTCTACCCCGATTCTCATTTGTTGTGGGGCTGCGTTTTGATTGATTTATTGAACTGCCTTTCATTATTACTTCCGTACGGTCCTTTTCAATCTGGCCGGCCGGTTGGCGAGAGTAATACTAATGATTCACGTATCCTTAGATGGCCCCGTTTTTGCGCGCATACAGGTGGTTTTAGGCAGTGAGGAGGCTAACAAAATGTAATATCGTGGCCCAAAAGCTAGTTACTATGCACGACTATTACTTTTGGTGTTGCTTTTTGTGCCCTGTTTATAGTTGGTCAGTCATGAGTAGTTCCTCGATAAGGGTGATTGACTTTAGCTAAGACATATTCCTACATGGAATTTTTCGTCCATTCCTTTTTAGTAGAAATGGCAGTTGACAGTGGGGAAGAGACAGAGACAGTGCGGCATATTCTGAGTCGGAGAATATCTCGAGCCTTTCTTCGTTTTAACACGACAAATTTACATCTATCCGTTTTGGCAATTGGCAGTTAACAGTGGTGAAGAGACATGGATGCAGTGGGGCATGAGTCAGAGAATATCTCGATCCTTTCTTTAACACGACAAAATCCATCCATTTTTGCCAAAAAAAACGTCACCTAACTGTACGTCGTGCCCATGTAGGATATTTGAGGAGGACCCGGAACTGAAGAAACTCTTCTACTTCGCGGACGAGGGCCGGGAGTTGAGCCGGGACGACCAGCGGATGCGGTCTCACGGCGAGCGGGTGATGGAGGCGGTGGGCGCCGCGGTGGACAGCCTGGAGGACCTGGCTGCCGTCGTGCCCGTGCTGACCGAGCTCGGGGCGCTGCACCACAAGTACGGCGTGCAGCCCAGCTACTTCGACGTAAGTTCAACATTTAAAACATGTATGACATTTCAGGTCGGTAAAACAAAACAGAAATATTCTGGATGAGGAAATCTGTCTGATATTCACATTTACTGCCATTTCGTGGCATATTTTTTGGCATCATTTCATATTTGAAGCGTTTGAAAAACACGATTTGTCAGGCGTACGCGTCTCTTTATGTTTCGGGTACCGCCCATAAATAGCTAAAACAGAAATATTCTGGATGAGGTTTATTGCCAGCGCAATGATACACTTAAATGTAGATCTCTGTTCCCCTTGGTTTGGTCCCTAATACACGTACAAACATTTCTTTTATTGGTATGATCTTGAAACATAGTTAAGAATCTATGCTCGCTAAAAAAACATTACTGTTCAAGTGTGCATTTATTTCCCCCCTTGACTCAATGTTTAATCACACGAAAGTTAATTCGTATAGCAACCGTGGCTGTTGATGCATGTTTGCCAACACTTAAGTGGCCCCCCTGTAAGCCTTATCTCAGTACTTGGACAATGTAATCGTAGCTATTTGTACATGTCAAATCTACAGAAAAACGAACAAGGCGAGGATTTATTCTGCAAACAAAACGTGTGGGAAAATCTTTCGAGGTTTCTTTCCTTCTCTGGACAACATTTACTCATAACAATTAGCAGTTCGGCTGATGAAAAAACATGAAAGCATTGCAATTAGCGGTTCCTCTGTTCCTCTATTATTCGGTCGATTTGAGCAATTCCTACTATTGAATAGTAACTCATACAGTAACTATTTTAGAGTACCCTCCTTCTAGAGACTAATCATATATATATAGCTTAGTGGGTAGAGCGAGAGGTTTAAAATACCGGTTAGGCTACGCGACAGACTTTAAAATGGTACTGCTGGTACTTACCCTACCCTTCGTGATGCCGCTTTAGCGTTTGCAGTTATCAACCAAAATCTATTAAATCCACACACAATGTACAAGGAGGATTTAATAAAACGAACGAACTGCATTTTACAGACTGTAGGAGCGGCTTTGATATACACACTGGAGACCAACCTGGGCGACAAGCTGACTCCCCACATCAGACAGGGCTGGGTGCTGGTGTACGGCATTGTGGGAGCCACCATGAAGAAAGGAATGCAGCGGGCCATGGACCAACAGAACCTGGACAAAACCTGCCCGTAAAATATCATTTTGTCGATCTTCCGTACAGAATGTGCCCAATTATGGTGAGATATTTTGTAAAGTAGTATGTATAGTCGTCTTGTTTAATGCAAAGCTGGAGAAAACATCTGATCGTTTGATGTTGCGCGACACCATCTTCTCGTTCCCAGGATGATCATATTTGGCGGGAAAACTTCAGCATATCAGGCGTTTTGTGTCACAGTCCGTTGAAAGAGAGCTGTATACAATGTAGATTGTTCGCTTTTTATATATGATTATTCTTGTCAAGAAACACTTCTGAGAATTCAGTATGAACGCCTGACAACATAAATGTGACATTATGTGTAGTATTAACAATACTTTGTGTTATTGTTATTGTAGGTAAAAATGTTTATGTAAAACAGTCAAATAGCTCCTGTGACAAACCGTGCAGAATAGATTAAGTCAAACCTAACAACAATTATACAGAATAGACAATTTCATGGTAGGCATATTGTTCTCACTGTCTAATTATAATGTACATTTTGTCACTCGCAATTACCCTTTAAAGATTTATGTGTTCAAAAAAATCTATGAAACATTTAAAGAAACAGCTTGTTCATCAACTATAAAATGTAGTTGTATTCTAAAAAAATACCTGCCATTCGTAAATATAAAATTTAACTTTATATGTTAAGAAAACAATGTATTTGTGCCCGATATTGCGAAATTATATAAAGTGGTTCTGTATTCCTGGGCAAAAAATTCCTGTTTTGTACATCTGACCTATAAGAGGGACATTGACAAATGTAATGGATACTACGTACATGTAGCATGTATCAAACCCGTGGTCCAGCTTGTAACAATTTTTAAATATGTAACATATTTGTGACACAGGCTCATTTAAGTAATGGGTAAAAATATTGAGACTATATTTACTATTAGAAATTCACCCTGAAAATATATAAGATATCAAGACGCCACTTCTAATAATCTTTTTTTGAATGTAATGTTAAGTTTATTGTTTGGCCACTTATTCTGTGTAAAACATATGAAGGGCATAGAATATGACTCTATGTTAGTTGGTGCATACATTATAGAAAATCCAATACTAGTACCAACTGTCACGATAGGTCTTTCCTTCAGTACATGATTGTCAAACATAGTCACTATAAATGACAGTAAATCATTTTCATTTGTTACATCCTGATAAAGGTTCATGAATATGTATAAAAAATACAGACCTTTTAATTACAATTCTAGGAAAGCTAGTACTAGTTAGTCCATTGCTACTTTGTTTATTGCAATATGAGAGCCTTCAGCACCAGAGCTAAATAAATAAAGCTAAACTTTAATTAAAGAAGTCAAATTGATACTAGCTAATGCTACTTGCCTCTACTTTCAAAACTATATCTTACATGTAGATAGGGCAGTTATATTGCATTAAAACAGTTTTGTTATAGTTGGCCTTGCCATGCACATTGTGAGGATTTCATACAGACACTTTTAAAATATTTTTTCGTACAGCTACAAGGAAAGTTACCAGAATGAACCCACTGAAAATGCTCTTTTCAAAAATATCATTGCTTTCAATTTCTACATTATATGGCTGGAGCCTATACATGAGATAAGTAGAACCATGTGTCATGCTTCTAACATATAGATCTGAAGACAGTATTTCTTTTGTCCAAACCAGTCTTGATATGAATAACAAGTGTACTATGATGAATGTTGATTTATACACATACCTCATATGCAACAAATTCTTATGGAAACATTTATATTCTAACTGTTACACTTTTCTGTCAGAAAAATAAGTTACACATACATCCTCATCATTATCAGTATCTGCTGACAGTTCAGGCTTCATAAAATTCACTGATTATTAAAGTTATTATATTTCCCATGATTCCATTGTTGTATTTCCCATGATTCCTTTGTTATATTTCCCATAATTCCATTGTCATATTTCCCATGATTCCATCCACTTCAGCCCATACATGGGACTGGTTTCGTTGTCTGCCAGGGGACCGAACATGCCATAGGACAAGGGGTGGAACAGGTAGAAGCTACAAGAGAACAACAAATACTGTGAATACTGTGAGCTTCAAGTTGAATTTATTTCACTGATGGTGTTCACAGTGTTTTTAAAAAAGTTTGCAGTGGACACACACAGTGCATTATTACAGATCCCTGCGAAAACTATGAACATAAAACCCACCACAAATGTTTCAAGATCTAAAGTAGATAACAACACTACTACTCTCTATTTCACCTTTAAATTTGTTGAAAATGTCAGTAATGTTCAGTCAATATAACACATTTTCATCAATATTGATTTTGCACGGATTTCTTACCTGTACAATATGATAACAAAAATAAAAGCTGTCCCCCATTGATGTATTCTTCTGTGGATTCTGGGTTGTGTCTTATGCTCCACAACTAGCAGAAAGTAGTCATACATGATAGCTGGAATGATAAATACATTCAAAATGTCATAATTATAAAACATGACAGCAATCTACATGTCAGTGAAGCACCCCCTAGTGATATTAACTAGAGCTGCATGTTGCAATTTGCTAATCAAAGACTGGGCATTGAAGGTAGAGAGAAAGAAACAACACTAGCAGTTTTTAACCTCCTCCCTGCTGCCTAATGGTATAACCAATAGAAATTTGGTGCTAAATGGCTACCTTTGCATGCTGACAGTTAAATGTTTGTACCTGTGAGCATGGACTGGAAGAGCATGGCTGGGAAGTAGTGGTGGAAGTACAGAACCCTTCCCATGAAGTAGAATGGCAGGTAGTGCAGGGCCCAGCCCATAGCCATCCACCGCGCTGCTGACAGTGTACTGCACTTCTTTTCTGGAATAATAGCAAAGACATGGTCTTAACCTTTTGAAAACATCTCTGTCTAAATCGATAACCTTGAAAGAGTACATCTTTGCAAAGACATCTTTATACATTATGAACAAACTGACTGACAGACAGTTTTGTATGATGCAGAAGAAAATGGAAGCCTCCCTACCTCAACATTCAGAGCTACATTCTAGTGATGAAACACAACTGTTTTATAATTGGACCTATAGCTTTGTATCATTTGTATTGTTTATGACAGATGTGGACTCTGCTTTATTCCTTACATATGGATGTCAGGACTGTCACAGTATGGGTTACTGCACAATGATATATAGGGTTTCTTACTAACAACTGTTAAAGCATGCAAGACAAAATATTATTTTTTTGTCACAGATAAATACCATTGCTCAACAGCATGTAGTTCAGTCAGTAGCTGCACTCGTACCTGCCAGGGGTGGAGGGTCCACAAACCCCCTCTGTGTCCTGACAGCCTCCACTAGAAACACCAGCATAGCCCCTGCCAGCGAGGCTAGGTTACCCCACCAGATAACCTGATGTACACAGAGCATGTTACATTTCTCATGAAATCATCATGGATGACAAGATTATTCTGATGAATCATGTAACGTTACATACTAAAAATAGAAGCTGAAGAAAAGGCGAAATAAAAAGAACATGTACTCATTCACATGTAATTCTAAAGATGATTTGGTTAGCAGCAATGACCATCCTACAGAAACATGCTGAAGATTTGGAAAAAAATACTACTAGTAGTGAGTACTAGGCATATGAAGTTAGCGTAACTCACAGGATTTCCTAGGAGGTACACTTTGTAGTCTGTTGCATTCACACCTGAAAATCGCTGTCCCTGTCAAAATGCAAAATTGCTTACATTCAAAACTGTGACTTCTCACCATCTATCTAATAAGGAAACATTGATTAACACAAATAAAAATATATATTGAGTCTTGGCTAGAGAGGTGCCAGATGGCTATACTGGTCCCAGCTTACCCTGTAGTTGAGAGGCCACTGCCAAGGTTGTGATGTAACCTCCCCTTCTTTTGCCTTCAGTCCACTGTTTCCCTACAGGGGAGAAAATGAACAGTTCTAACATTCCAACACATTTACATTTATTTCTGGCAACACCTCGGGAGTGGAGCCTGTAGCATAGTATTGGGTTTGGGTGTTACTTTCCCATCACCATAATGTTAAAAGAAGTTATCAAAGCTAATCATGTGGTGCTCTAGGATGGAGTGACTCAATGCAATACAACACATCAGGTGTTTCTTTCCACATTTAAAGTTACTGACCTGTACCATGACTGCGTGTGACTCCAGCAGCTTACCCAGGAATGACGGCTGGTACACCGCAAAGGTACCGTTGGGTACTGAGGGAAGAAAGAATATTTACCGAGGGAAATCTCAACACAGCAACTTGTCTGTATAAGATAATCTCAAATAAAAGAGACACAATCTAAACCCACTTTTTCTATGGCGTCTTGGACATGTTAATCACATTTTGCCATGAATAAAAGTGATCAGTAAATGTGTTCAGCCTTTAGCACATCAACTTGATTGTTAGTCTCCCATCCCTAACTTCACATCTATACTCGACAGAAATACAAACAAACCAAAGAATGTCTCAATGTCATTTACATGTGTTGGGTGTATGTATTTCACATCTTTGACAAATGACAGCAGCAGCATTAGAAAGGTTAAAACTCCAGAGCACAATCTTGGCACCACTCACACTGATTGTTGATGTGATCCTCTATGTTCCACAGGTTGTTCTTGTCCCTGGTGAAGGGGTTACAGGTCACTTCCAGCTGTTCCCAGCCCCTGGGTTACCAACAACCCAACAGGTACTCTTCAGATTCAGATTTTTATTTCCAATGACATAGCAGGTGCACGAATATGGTAAATCAATATTACCTGAAATACGTCATTGATCACAAAGTAGCCGTAAGTGTTAGAAAATTCAAGTATAAACATGATAATACATTATAAAATAGAATCCGCAGTCTGACTAATCACAAATAAACTATTTGCAAACATGTTTCTGATGCGAGAGGAACACTTCTGAATAGTTCACACATTGTGAAGGCTCTTTAAAATTACAGACAGAGCAAACTATTCATTTTCACAGTATCCCAAAATTTCCATTAATTCACAGTAGCATGTAAGTCAATAAGGATATTTATGATTAAGACTGCACATGCCCAGTGCCAAAGCAGAGGGCCCCCGAAACGTAAACAAAACATGTCAGACCAACCTTACATTCATGTAATGTACAGATGTTTACAGGGTCTTCAACTTTGACATAGTACGCACAACACACACATTGCATATGCACAGTCTTGATTGTGAACCTCCCTTTTCTTAAAAACATCTCCATCAGAAAATAAGCTTAAGCAGCCAGATAGGTGTGTGCAGGGTAAAGGTACAGTCACTGTGGTAACCTCACCATTTGGGGAGAGTCTTGGAGTGTGAGTGGAGGGCACAGCCTGTCATGTAGTGGATGAACCTGACCTTGGACCTGACCGTCTTGATCCGGCTCTTCTCTGCCCCTCCTACCACCTCCACTTTCCAGATGTCATTTATGTCCCCTGTTCCATTCTGACAACAGGACATGTTGAAAATAAAAAGTGCAATAAACTTTACATGTTCACAATGCTCAATGAGAAGAAAAGTGGGGACTTCTCATACAGATTCAGTTAAGCAATCAATGTGGCATCAATAGCTAGGTGGTCCAACTTTTAATAGGATTGAGAGGTCCTGGGTTTGATCCCCAGCTATACATTGAGACATTATGTCCTTGGGAAAGGCAAGGACACAATGTATTCAATTGGTGTGATAAAAATCACTATAAGTATAACTCATTATAAGGAGAGTGAATCATTATTGGGCTCTGGTCACTCAACACCATGTAGACATTGTGGATTAAGAAACACATCTGCTAAAACAGACTTTAAAAAATAATATTAGACCTGTACCTTTCCATTCATGTGATATTTACTGCCAGAGAACTCACAGCATCAGACACAGGAAATTCTGAACTTTTGTGGACATTTCAAAGACTTGCAAGATGATTGTTGCAGCCCTTATGGATACAATACATGTAACATTATGTGTAAAACCTTACCTCTCCATACCCAGTGACTTGGAAATGTCTCTTGGTGATGGGTGCAGGTTCTTGGTGTGTGTGGAGATTTCTCTGAGTCCTGTAGTCACGGAAAGAGTGGTCTTCTATCAAAATAATGCTTGCGTGGAAACCAACCTTATAGTTGGAAAGGTTTTTTATCAAAGGATAGATTAGAGATGACTTCTATTACATCATACCTGGGCCGTGGTAACGTTTGGTACAGGTGCTCCAGACTGTGTGATAACTAGCATTATCATATGTTGGAAATGTGAAGACTAAGTAACTACGCTTATGAGAATGATAATTTTTTTTATGACTCACGCTACATGTTCCAGTCGAACAAGGTCACCGTTCTTTACAAACTGTACAGGATCCTCAGCAACTGTTGGATAAATGAAAAATTATGAAAATATATGACTTTTTGGGTCTAATTTGATAATATTGCCTGGAAATCTAAAAAACAGTTCTGTAACAAATAAACAAAAATTGAAGTAAACTCATGCACTCAATGATGGCCTTACAACAAATTTTAAAACCTTTCTAAGTTTCTTGAAAAACATGATGAAAAGCAAGAATATGTAACGTTACATGTAACATTTTACTTACTTGGGTTTCTGTCATATCTCTTGATAATCCAAAGGTTGTTGTCATCCTTATGTGTGTAAGCTGTTATCTGAAGAAACAGAAAGAGCATTTGTACAAATTTGCAAAAATTAGAAACTAAACAAGAGATTTTACACTTCAGGACATTTTCTTTATCAACTTCAATTTTCACCTCAAAACAAGGCTCATACAAACCACTTACATGTTTAGGGTTACATTATGGAACTGTAGAGACAGATGTTTGTTCATCCTAGACTTGAAAAGTTTAAGGTTGTACCCATTTGGAAAGCATTCACAATGTTTTGGATATCCGCAAACAATGTTTTGGATATCCGCAGTGTTTTAGAACTGTATGATCAGAGGGAAGTACCTGACTGAATTACATCATAGTCTGGATTAATACACATACAAACAGTACTTCTGTCCTGAAAATGAAAACACTGCTAAGAATTCTAAAACTACAGTAAGACAAAGGGTATTTACGTATGTACCTGCTGCTGCTGTGCCCCTAGGCCTTCTGGGTACAGGTGCCAGTGTGAGTGGAGCAGGCCACCCGCAGGCCGGTAGTTCTTCAGGGTGATGGTGGAACCATACGCTATGTCTGTAACCAACCAGGCACAACTTCAGAGGGGTTACATAACCAGGGCTTCAACTCATTTTTCTGCATTTTTAGGGGATCACATGAACACACATAGCTGTTCTGTACCAGTAGTTCTGCATGCGAGTTGTCAATCCCTAGGTCAGAGGGATGGAAAGCCAAAAACAAAACCATCTCACCTTCCGGCATATTTGCCTGGTACAGCTTGTTCCCTTCTAGTGTAGACTGAAAGGCTGAGCTCATGAAACCATCACCTGAGCCACTGAGATGGAATGACAATCATTGTGATCAAAACATGAATAAAGCATCGTGTAGCCATGATGACTTTCTTACTTTTTTTAAGGCTTTTGAATACATACAAGACCAAAGTATGTAATGTTGAATTCAGAACTATTTGATACTACAAATCATTTTTGCCACAGTTACCCTGTAAGCAAATACAGGTATCATTAAATGAGCAGTTTCTATCACTATGAGCCTTATTTGTTAAATGTTGTATCAGAACAATCCTTCAAGTATTTCAGAAGATCAAATCTATTTTCTGTTTTCAATACCCTAAGAAATAAGATTCAGTGTTCAAATTATCTACATTTTTGGCTTTTAAGTACTAGTTGATGGTGAAGACAACTTTTCTTAATGTAGTAAAAAAATACTATATGGTACAATATGTATAGTACATGTATTACTACTTAGTGTATACGCACCTTTTGTACAGTGTGTGGAAATGAATGGCAAAGCAGGTGATATAGATGGCTGCTGGCAGGACTATAAGGCACACGGTTCTCGCCAAGAAGTGTTTGAAAATGACAAGCTTGGCAGAAAAAAAAAGCACAGTTTGAGACCCAACAACAGAACATTAGCATTTTCAGTGAAATCAAGTCTTGTCACTTCATCATCCTTCCAACTGTGGAACCCAAACACACAAACTGAAACAAAAGCCACCCAAAACAATACTTCCCAGAAGTGAAAATACCTACCAGCGGTAAGGTCAGGTCCCCCAGCAGGTCCCAGAGGTCGCTGACTGTCTTCAGCCCCACCCACAGGATGATGAAGAGTCCCACAAACTTCACACTGAAGGCCAGGGCAATGAAACAGCCCGCTCCACACATCCACACCCACCACCACACGGAGAATGGTCTGGAGTCACATAATCATGAAGGAAATTAGATACATATTCTCTGTAACATCTCCAGCGCTCAAAATACCACCTGCAGGTTAGTGAAGGTAAAATTGGAGCTGTGCAGGTATTTCTGATGTCTACCAGCACCTTACCTGCACTGGTCTATATACTAGTACTGGATTTATGTATGTGTTGTGTATTGACAGTAACATCTGTACATTTTGAATGACAATGTTAAAGAAAATTGGCAGTAGTTTCTGGAACGTTTTTTATGTGATCCATGTTTCCAAAAATCTGGGTGGTGCAGATTAAATTTGCTGATGCAGATAACCAGTTCAGGTACATGTATGCAAAATAAGTATTTTTACCTGTTACTGACAGAGTCAAATTTGGACTGACAGAAGACTGCCCCCATGATGAAGCAAAGCATGATGGGATCCAGGAGGATATACTGGGACAGGGTAAGGCAACCTGTGTCTGGAGAGCACATAGAATTCCATGTAAGATAACAGTGAAATCTGCACAACCGAAGAGGTTATTTTGGGAACTGATCGAACACAAGACATTAGTAATAACTGAATATCTGGGGACCCAAAGACACAGAATGATTCTATCTATTCAAAGAAAATTCAACATGAATACAATTTAAATATCATGTCAAAAAAGCATTGTAAGGTGTCAAATATTAACAAACAGCATACAATTCGAAATCAGCATAAGAACATGTTCTTGTTGTAATCTATTAAATTTTATACCTACAGTACATGAGGTACTAAGGTATGGACACAAGGATACTAGTACACATGAAAAAAGTAAACATACTGATAATGCCAACAGAAATGTTTCTCTCTCCATATAAACTATCGTATATAAACAGTGGGAATTCATTATATACTCTTATATAGAAGTACAGGAAATGCAGAGGCTAATAAGGTAGTTTTATCTTTGCAGATTTTGTGATGGCTTAAATACTGCGAATCCATAACACCACGAATTGTATTACTACAGTACTATAGAACTGTTTCAACCACAAATCTGTGAGCTCTCACATCTCACCTAAAAGCAGCAAAGCAGCAGCCAGAGTAGCAGCAGGTAGAGACCATGTCAGCTCCCATACTGTCAGGAAGGCCAGGGGAACCACAGTGGAGCCCAGACTCACACAGAACTAAACAAAAAAGGTAAAATGGTTATCCTCAACTAAGCACGGTGCCTTAAGTACATGTAGCTGAAATGTAGCTTTGCTACAGCTTGAGTCACCCCTAATGTTTTCAACAAGTGTTTTGGGTTCTTTTACGTACTTGCAGAGGTTTGGTACTCCAGACATATGCCTGGGGCTCCCTCATATATGGGCTTGCCAGCTTTACACCACCAACCAAAATGACTGCAATCCCTCACAACATGTCGAAGCTGACCCATTCCTGGGATCAAATGCCAATCTCTGGTTCTTTAGCCCTTGGCAACACAGCTTTTGCAAGCACTACAGTAGGAGGCTTGTCCACTGGTAGTAGTGTGTGTTCAACTACCATTAATAATCTTTCTCATAACTGCTAGGTGAGAGTTAAGCAGTATGTTCCATTTTTTTTTTTTTAAACTGCCTCTGCCAAATGACTCATTGGTCTTGCCATTGCATCATTTATGTGGTTCAAATAAGATAACCTAACATGGTAGTACGTAATTAACATCATCAACAAGAAAACACTTTTTCAAGTTTGAACAAAGCACACAAGACACTCACACTTCTCATGCCGACATATTTGGTGTCTCCATATTTGTCTCCAGGCTTCTCAAAAGGAAAAGCACCATCATAACCAGTCAGGTGCCCGGCAAGTCCTATCAACATCTAGAGGAAAAGCAAGAAAGAACAAAAGGTGGCACTATATTATAAGCTATTGACTCTAGATCTGTTGTCATCTAGAAATTGTTACAAGTTCCGTTTTTGTTCACAGATTTCTTCCCACTGTAAATTCTGAAACTTTTACAGTGGTTTTATTAGAGCACTTATTATTATCACTTATTAATAATAAGAGCACTTATTATTATGAAACTTTTCTGATTTACAACATATATTAGCTTTTTTCACATTACAATGTAGCTCAAAAATGGCTAGTAAGGTTGCTGTGAGTGCAAAGTCTCCACTGGTTCTGTGACGACTGGAAGAAACAGTCACTGAATTGCTGTAAGAATGAAAATAGGTGGAATTTTGAGAGCACATAAGCAATTCATTTTGTACTATATAAAGTACATTTGTGCCATGCTTGCTACTTACCTTCCCCAAAGGAGGATGAACATCGAAGAAGAATGTCCTATTGATGTAGTAGCTGCCCATCTTTCCAAAATGAGTTTCATCCCAACTGAAACAATACAAAAGAGAGTTTGAACTGACATCACATTCAAACTAATAAAAAAATTTTAATCAAAATCATTTGCAGCAGTTTGAACATATGTGGACCAGTTTATATCCAGACCATAAAGGCATAATTAAATGTTTTAGGTTGTTCTTGTAGTGAATGAATGGACTTTATTGCTTGACAATCGTACATGGTACAATCAAGGACATTATGTGTATAATGTCCTTGGTACAAATTGGCAATAAATCCACAATACTACAAGGCTATTCTGTCCTAAAATTATGACTACAAAATATTATCAATAAGTATTAACAGTATATGAGTTACAAAATAGTCATGTATTGATGATTTGTTCTCACGTTTGGAATAAAGACAGGTTTGCTACTGCTTTGTTTGCTGCTGAGCAATGTGCAGAAAGGGGTATATATAGAAATCGTGGCAAGTAACGTTACTCTACATTTGCATGCTGGAACAGTTGACATCCTTACCATATATGATCAGGCTCCTCTAGTTTGTAGAATCTTGTGCCAAGAGTTAGCGCCACAACAGCAGCAAAAACGCCCCACACGTGAAGACCGAGCTCCGCGGGCGTCCCTCCGCCCTGGTGCCGCGCCTTCGTCAGGGTCCTGCCGCCGTTAGCAGCAGCAGCGGTCTGGGTGGGACCGTTCTGTTGTTTACCCCTCCCCATCACGGTTTTCAACTTGGGTTTCAAGTCGCGTTTGTCTTCAAATTCTGTCTACAGCACCCTATCTATGAACTTAAACAATTTACTGGTACCGTTCCCTTCATAAATCAGCCCATTTCTGAAGACCTGACTTGATCTAAAGCTATGGAAAACAAGAAAACTGGATGAACTAGCGAAACAAAAAGAAACTCTGCTAACTTGTGATCGCCTTTACCCTTTGACTGTTGACCCAAGCTAGTAACGTCAACTTTACATATAGGGGTTTCGCATACTGTGTAACGAAATTATATTCTGACCGGATACTTCTTGTGTAAACTAAGGAATCTAAAAGCATGCCTAAAAGTTAGATTATACATCTGCTCATCTGCTATTATAGATATTGGGTTGTATATAGTGTATATGTAGAAAACCCTACAACCATAGGAAGCAGAATCTTCAAACCGCTGAAGGCGGCTTCCTTAACAGAAAGAAGGAACGCCCCTTTAACGTGGTTGGATTATTCCATACGGAGGCGTGAGAGGGTTACACATCGGCCACGTCCCGTCCGGCGTCCGTTCATCATGTCAACCAAAGTAACGCTTTCCTTGTTTTCCTGTGCCGTTACCGTTTAGGCAACGTTAAATGGTGCTCGTATATCCTTGTACAAGCTGTTTAGGTCATTGTTTTCAATGGAAAAGACCTAAAATCGTGTCGATATATGCCTCAGTCACATGATTTTCCAAGGGGCCCGCACGGGGTGTAGTCGATCCGAGGTCCCGGGCGGGCTTTGAAGTCGTGGCAGCCGTTCAAGGCCCCGTCCGGGATCTGAAGTCGGGGGGAGGCCGGCTTTCACGGACACGGCCATGCTACAGTCACATTTCAAAACAAACCGCTATGAAGCAGGCCTTTTTTCCCGAGATTTCTTGCGGGGCCCCGGCCGGGGACTCGGGGGCTAACTGTTTCGATCTTGGGGTCGGTTCCGCCCCCTGTGGATTTAATCCCAGCAGGGGCCCTGTCGATGTTTTCACGAGTAGGTTACGGCTTGGATCTGGCACATTTTTCTGCCGGGACCAGGACTGAACTGAATCAAACCGTGGGCCCGCCGGATCCCGCAGACAGCCGCCCGGGCCCCGCCCACAAAATAAGTGTAAAAAATCAAACACAAACAACGGGGCATCGGATTGGAAAATATTATGCTGAGTCACACTGTTTACATAGAGTTAATAAAGTGCTATCGTCACATTTCCAAATACATGTAAGTTAACGTTAGATGCTTCGATTTTCCTCTGAATATTCTTTCTGAGTTTCTCTACACTTTCGGGTAGGAGCATTGACACTTACTTTAAAACTCTATTAAAAGAGAGCCTGCATTTAAGTAGTGATTACGAATTATTGCCTCTGATTATGAATTATTATATATTCTCAGAGCTGATTACAAATCATGAGGCTTGAATTATTAAGATGTATGTTGATTTTGGCCGGCTGCC